CGTGGCGTGGGGGGTGGTGTCGGTCCCCCGGGGGGGGGGGGGGGGGTGTGTGTGTGACATGGGGCTTTCTGGGGCCCCAGCTGCCTTCCCCAGAGGACAGCCCAGGCTAGCCCTTGCAGGGTGAGCCCACCCCATGGCAGGCACAAAGGGCCCTGTGTCCTGCCTGCACAGGGGCTGGAAACAGGGCCAGCCCCCGCTGCTCTGCGAAGGATTTCAGTGGTTTGGTTTTTGCCTTCCTTCCCTTTTTAAGGCGCAGCTCCCCGGGGGCTGGTAGGCCCTGGTTTAACCCGAGTGCTGCAGCACTGTGCTGACTGCAGGTACTGCACAGAGAGGGTCTGTCTCTGTCAGCCTTCCTGGGGCAGAAATCACCCACAGGGGAGAAGTGGAGATGCTGGCAGCCAGGAGGGATGATGGCCTTGGGAGTGGGGACAGGACCCACAGCAGGGAGCTGCAAGATGCCAGAGAGGGGGCACATCCCAACTTTCTGCCCACCAAGCAGGGCAAGCTGGGGTGATGGGATTCCCACCCCAAGCCCTGACCCCTCACACGGTGCCATGAGGTCCTGCCTCTCACAGGACACTGCTCTGCTCCCACACCAAGCCCAGGGAAGCAGCGAAGCCCCCCCCTCATTGCGGGGTTTGTGCCGAGTCAGCTAGCTCACAGCCGGCACAGGCAAGGACAGGCTCGGGCTGCAGTGCGGGCTCTGGAAAGGGACTATTTTTAGTCATCTGGGTTTTTAGCCATCTCAGTTCCGCGGTGCCGAGGCCCTGCAGTGGGGAGGGAAGGCCAGAGGCAGGCAGCGGCCCAGGCAAGGGGATGTACCAGCAGCAAGATCCCTGCCAGAGCCCAGAGACACAGGACAGGACTTGCTGCAGCCCCCATGGGTCCCCCCCAACATCCCAGTCCTCCACACAGATGGGGCACACACACGCTTTTCCTTCAGTCCAGCATTTAATCCCTTTGGCTAAAAAATCTTCATATGAAACCCAAAACCTCAGAAAAGAAACTGAAATGGTGGGATGGGGATGCTCCAACCCTGCAGACAGGACGAGGCCCAGGTCAGAGCCAGTGCCCAGGGGGTGCTCAGCGATGGCTGAAGAACCCCTGAGGGTAGTTGAACTTGAAGGGCTTCAGGCGCATGGGCCCCCTGGAAGAGAAGGAGAGGCTGACCCACAGGCATCAGGAAGCCCATGGCACCCACAGAAAAGGCCTGGTCCCACAGTACTGCCGAGCCGCGGGGAGCAGATCCCCACAAGCAGCTAAAGGAGAGGCTTCAAGGTTGGCACCAGGTCAGGCGAGGCCATGCTCCAGGGGACAGCAGTGCCACCAGCGTCCCTGTCACCACCCTCAGCCCCGGCCCAGCTCCTCACTGCCCCAGGGTCCCCCATGACACCAGGCTCTCACCTGACAAGACGCAGACACATCTTCTCCTGGGGAAACTCCTTGGGCCCCTCCACGCTGGGGTCGTGGGGCTCCGTCTCCAGGTAGACATCCAGCACCATGCACAGGCGCTGCAGCTGGTTGGTGAGGAGCTGGTAGCCCGGTTTGGGCCCCCACAGCTCCTTGTAGTTCACGTTGACCTCGCTCTCCATGGCCTGGCAGAGGGACCAGTATAGCACAGGCTTGGGTCTGTGCTCTACCCTCCCAGGACCCACAGCTGCATCCAGCAGGTCTTGTGGGCCTGCCCTCAGCTACCTGGCCACCAGCTCACTTATGGACACAGAACCACTAGGAACACCCCCCAAAAGCCAGCAGTTCTCCAGCCTCCTCTCCTACTGCCCCGAGTTACCCGAATGTTGTCATCGTTGCTGCTGGTTCGCTCTCCTTTCCAGTTCAGGCAGAGGCTGAAGACAGGCGGCAGTGTAGAGTAACCAGGGTTAAGGACCACAGCGGCCTGGAGCTTGGCTGAGCAGGGCAGGGAAGAAATGTCACCCACAGCCCACAGGGCCTCCAGCTGGGGGGATTTCCCATGAAGACCCCCAGAAGCTGCCCTGGGGCTGTCCAGTGTAGGAATTAGCAACAGCCAGGGGACGGAAATGTGCCTACCTGTTCCTCTTTCTATCAGGGCCATGTAGTAGAGGTGAGTGTCTTCAGCCAAGCCGGCCTCTATCACATCTTTAGTGTAGGGCAGCTCCTGCGAGGAGAGACAAGAGGAGAAGTGAGCAGCTGCTGGCGCCATGCGGGAGCTGGAAGGCTCACGCTCGGCACCTACCGCATAATCTTCATAGGGAATAGCAGCCCACTTCACCAGGCGCGAGACAATCTTGGCAGGGAAGAGATGCTGGCACTCACTGGAGACTGGCACAACGCCGTGCTCTGAAACCAAGGACAAGGCCACCTGAGCAGGGCTGGGGACAGAGCTCTGTCACTGTCCTGCAGGTGGGGATGCTCCAAAACCTGGGGACATCATTATCCTTCCAACACCTTTGTCAGGTGCCAAGAGAGGAGCAGTGGAGGCCTCGGCTGTGATCCCACTGGAGCTCGCAGCCTTGGCAGCGCATACCTGGCCTTCTCAACAGGCACAGGACATGCGTGGGTGTGTGGTTCACCTCCCACCATGTCCCAAATCAATTCCCGGCGCAAGGATGGCCAGTCCCAAAGGGGTGCTGGGCATCAAGAGGGGGCACAGCCTTCCTCTCCCACCAAAAACAGGGCAGCCCTTGCAGCCCCGCTACTGCCGAGGACAGAGGGAACAACTGGGAACACTGAGGGTGGCACTGCAGATGTGTAGCACCATTAAAGGTGACATCAGTCAGCTCTCCTCTGCAAGAGGACCCTACTACTGCACCCCCTGTCCCCAGGCACAGGGTGGGGAGCCAGGCACTCACCAAGGGACGCAAACTGCTTGTGAAGAGCCAGGCGGGACTGCAGCCTTGTCCGCAGCAGCTTCACAGTCAGCTCCATGTGGCTGGCACTCAGCGAGTTGTCCGCAGTGACTGTGTGCTGCAGGCAGGAGTGGCCGTGACCATAGCATCAGCCTGTGGGCCCTCACTGGGGACCCCATGGTCCAGAAGCCACCCCACCCAGCCACAGGGACAGGCACACAGTTGAGTCACTGCTTAGACTATCACATGCGACAGATCAAATACGTTGGTGTGGCCCTGCGGCACAGATTTACCCCAACTGAGCCTATCCCAGCCAAGGCTGCACCAAGGTCTGGGAGCGGCTGAGTGCCAGCAGGAGCTCTGGGGTCTGCGGGGACAGGACAGGATGTGACAACCACCCCCAAAACCTCCCAAAGCCCAGCTTGACGTTCTGGGGGAGACAGGAGGGGAGGAGGTGTGACATACCTGAGGTTGATCCTTGGGGAAATGCAGGCCGCCCAGCTTCTGCACCCACACATAGGGGTGCCCCAGCTCTGTCACGTAGTCACTCAAGGTCAGGATGCTGTGGGGACAAGGAAGGGTTATGCCACCCCAGATCACGCCCCCACCATCCCCCCCCGACCTGCTCTGCGAGCCAGCCGGAAGGAGCAGGTGCTTCTTTCACCTGCACCCCAAGCCATGCCCGGTGAGCCCACCCGATGCCCACTGGCAGGACACCCGCTTCCCCACCAATCAGACCCCCTTTTTTTTGGGACATGCCGTGCCAGGAGCAGGGCACTCACACCAACTGCCTGGGTGAATCTGCCCCAGCTGTGTGGGGCAGTGCCCCACTCACCCCACTTTATCGAACTGGAACTGGTTGGCCGGGTTGGGTGTTTTCCTCCCATGGTCTCCTGGATAGAGGCAGTTGAGGAGGGAGTCTGGGGAGAGCAGGTCACTGGCAAGAGGAGGGAAGAGATCAATCAGCAGCAGCCTGGGCTCCATGTCTCTCTAGGGCAGCCACTAACAGGCTCCGAGCCCAGAGAAGGGGATTACAAGCTCCATGAGTTGGGTTTCAAGACCAGAATGGCTTTCCCCTAATTCCAGTCTGAAAGGAGATCTGTCTCCTCCTTGGCTGCACGGAAGATAGAAATCACAGGGCACCAGCTCCCCAGTTTCCCAGGAAGCTGCTCAATCCAGTGTGTTAACTCCAAAACCGCTGATGTGTATGGAGAAAACAACACCAGCATAGGCAGGGCACGGCCTGATGGCTGTTTGCCACCCAACAAGCTTAAGCAGAGGAATTCTGCTTAATGAAACAAAATTCTTCATGTCTAACTGTACTCGCAAGCCTGACCAAGCATAAAGGGCTGTAGGATTTGGGGTTTGGCTCAAAGCCACAGCCTCACTGGTTGTGAGGGAGGGAGCACCCTGCATGGGAGCCCTGCAGAGATACTCCAGCTACTGTCACAGAGGGGTTTTGGTACCTATAGGGAAAAGAGAACCCCAAGAGGATTGAGCGGCCTCATA